GCGGGGGAGTGGTGGCTTTGCATTAATAAAAGATTTTTTAAAAGATTCTGTGAGTGTGAGAGGATCGAGGACAATATAAATGATTACTCTGAGAAATAATAGAAGAGCATAATTCCGTGTCAGTAAAAATGTTACGTAGTTATACACACATATATCATGAATCTCTGTCTGCCAGGACGTGAAAGGCCTACAAATACAAATTGTAGTTCTCTTTCTTTGCTTTAATAGAAGTTTTACGGCGCTGGCAACTGCATAAGGTCATATGAGCATCAAATGGGTATGGATCATGTCAACCTAGAGAATATACAGGTTATCAGATCAATTTCTGGCCTACTTAAGCTCCTTGACCTGTTTTAGTTGTTTTACTGTTGATCGACATGAATATTCAGGACATTATATATACCGGTAGTATTATAGATCTATATAGGCCAGGCCTATGTTTCGCTAACTTTCATCAGCTCTGTTTTTTATTCATTCTTCTTATATTGAATGATCATCTTCATAATAATAATAGTAATAACAATAATAATAGTAATAATAATATGTCGCTATATGTGGATCCAAATGTAAGGCTGTGTGGTGAAATCAGGCGCTTGTCAGACTCGCATTTTAACACCAGTTTGGACACTTTTATTGAATGTCTTTTTACTTTTTACAAAAAGAGTTTCATATCCTACCACTGGAACAGGCTCGACCATCCTTCTTATTAAAGAACTTGAGTAATGAAAAATGTTGTGTCTTCGACCTAGGCAATTGTGCTGTTGTGACTGTCTGAGCACTTTAAAATCCTTACTTGGAGCAAGTATAGTGCTTTGCGAGTGTCCAAAACTAAATTAAAAAATGGATTTTTGTTAACCATGAATGAACTCTTTCCCCCATAATTCCTGATTACGCAAAAGGAATTACCCCGCCCCGCCCCCCCCTTCCTTTTTATTCTATGTATTGCAACTTATCCCCCAATAAATAAAGAAGGAAGTAAAAACCATGTGCCCCTAAACTGCAAGATCTGCCTGCAATAGTTACCCACAGACAAATGGATTGTTTACAAGACTTGTCTCTCGTCGTATCATTTTTTAAATCTCTCAACAGGCTTGCACCACACTACATCTCAAGTGGTATTCTTGCATACACACCAACGAGGCAACCAAGATCAGATTCAGATTAAACTAGATTCTATTTTAGTTGAACCAACTTGCCGTTATAAATCGTATGGCCAGCACTTTTTTTTCACTTTGGGCTTTGGGCCTAATATCTGGAACCTGTTACCCCAGAAGATATGGGAAGCTGTTAAAGTTATTAGAATATTATAACCTAATTAAGAAAAGACTGAAACGCCATGTATTTACACAGGCCTATAGATTTATACATGTAGTAGAAGGCTGCTTTGTCTCTAAATTAATTTTTATCACTACTGCTGCTTGAGAGAGAGAGAGAGAGAGAGAGAGAGAGAGAGAGAGAGAGAGAGAGAG